AGGGTTTCCGAGGCTGTAAATCTTTACGGGAGCAGAATGCCTCATCTTTCTCCCACGGAACTGCTGGTAGTTTCGAACTGCTTACCTTTGCAATTCACAGCCCGATTCGTAACCACTATGCTACCAGAGCTCCTTTATATATAAATATATATACATATACATACACATTCATATATATATATATATATAAGTTTAAAGCACATATTTCAAAGCCAGAAGTAAAAACTTACATGTAATTTTAGCTGTATAATGGAATTCCCTCTTAACCTCACTACTTTGTGAGTATACATTTCCAAGCTGACTGTATACACCTGTATACCCCCCGTTTTTATTTCTGCTCTAGATCTCTTCCACCCTAAACTGCACTATGCAATCTCCATAGATTCTTAATATCTTCCACGAGAACCTTAAAGATTGGGAATAAAGGATGCAGAAATTGGCTAAGTTGATCAGTCACAAAGCAAGTACTCAAGCAAGAAATAGGGTCTATAAACAAAGGATCCCGCCTCTTGACTTTGCTTTTTCTTGTCAGGTAGTAAAAATTAGGACCCAGGCAGTAAAAGTGGAGCATCGCTGCCTATATCACTTAGCAACAACAACAACACGTTAAGAAAAGTCTACATTGACATACAAACTCATCCTATATAGGAGAATGTGAACATTTGTAAAGACTTTTACATTAGCTTTGGCTTAGGGACTGTATAGTCATTGGAGTGTGACCAAGCTGCTCTCATATTCCTACAAGTATCAGCGATTCTACACAAGTGGTCTTTGGAGGAAAGCAAATGGATATATTTGCTTTGTTCAAGGACATTTATAAAATCAGCCAGAAAATGATACGTGCTTCTCAGTGAAAGGCAATACTCACAATTTATTTTTTCTAACAGTTGGGAGAACATTTCAGCAAAATTACATTTCTTTGGCCATTTACCCTTTATTTTGCTTGTTTTTTATGTCTTAGCCTGCTTAAAGAAACACTGTCAGTTTCAGAGTCCAGAACATGAACAGTTCCCCTTGCATCTTCTCTTTGAAGGTGTTCTACCCAGCAGCCCGCCCACGGCTTGAAGGGTCGAAACATCTGCTTGTGTCTGGAGTCCTCTGCCTTGAGCTGATGTCCTGCTGTTTCAAACAGATGACATTTCCCTTAATGGGAGAGATCACCACAGCTACTGTAAGGCATGGAGGACGTCTGGCCAACCCCAAACTAAATAAATAAACCCCATGCGAATAATCCCTGAGAACAAGTGTGTGGCCAGTGGTATCAGTGGCCTGAGCCGCAGAAGCACCATTGAGTGGTGTCTTGTTTTTCATCAACATTGATGGTTTATGTTTTTCTTATCTTTTTTCTGGGCTTGGGTAAGGAAATGAAAACATTGTGTTTCTCTCAGCCCACTCAAATCTCCGTGGTGCCCCCTCCAAATGGAAGGGAGCCTTCTGTTGACTGAAAACCTTTAGGAAATTTAAGAAGAAATCTACTCAGCACTTTGTTTGATTAACTCTCTAATACACCATTTACTTTGTTTTCTGACAGGGCCATTGTAAAAGGAAATTCAGAAACCTAGATCCTTGGTCTGTAGACTCAACTAGAGGAGCTTTCAAAGTGGATGTCAGATTCCTTAATATGGGCCTTTCTGGGTTCTAAACAAAACTTCTGTTGTTGTTGATAGGTGCCGTAGAGTTGATTCCGACTCATAGCAACTCTATACACAACAGAAGGATAATATTGCCCTGTCCTGTGCCAGCCTCACAATTGTGTTTACATTTGAACCCATTGCTGCACTTTAATTTCTATAAAAAGTAACAATATATATCTTCTGATAAGTAGCAAGAGGCATGGAACAGCAACAACAGAAAGGCAATAGGTTACTTCATTTTTGATAAAATATTTGATTAGTATTTGAGATTAGTTAGCTAAATCGATAACACCAGATCAAAGGCTAGAAATTGTACAGGAATTAGGCAAAGTCATCTTGATCTATGAACAAAAACTAACCTCTCTCTCTTTAAAAAAAAATATTTTATAGCAAGCTTTTCCCCCCAAGAGAAGCAGATCTATTGTCATTACAGAGAAAATAGTAGGTTATTCCACAACCTTACTAACACCTTTCCACGTAATATTGTTTTAATCCTATGTAACACCTTTTTGGGTTTTGGTATAATTTTCAGCAGGTTTTCCAACCTCCATTATGCACTGCAGAGACTTCAGTTTTTGCATCTGTGAATAGGGACCTAATTACCAGTGCATTCCTGAAATCAGTCAGCCTCTCAATCTCTGAACGGGATTCACTCATGCAAGCACATGGGCAGAAACAGTGGCCCCTGATGCTTGTAAAAACTGGGTCCTCCTTCAGGACAGGCTCATTTCCCATGTGGTAAGTTTCGGCTTTATTAACCATCAGAAGAGTTCTTGCTCAACTGCAATGCTGGATAAACTAGCTCAATAGTTATTGTGCTCTAAAATAACACACCAAAAAACAAAACAAAACAAAACACCCCACTGTCGGATTGATTCCAATTCATCACGACTTGTACAGGGTTTCCAAGACTGTGAAACTTTCCTGGAGCAGACAGTCTCATCTTTCTCCCTCAATTTTCAGTTAGCAGCCCAGTGCCTGATCCACAGAGTCATCAGGACACCTTAAATCTATTCTTGTTGTTGTTGTTGTTAAGTTCCAACTTATAGGTACCCTGTATAGGGCTTCCGAGGAGTGGCTGGTGAACTTGAACCACTGACCTTGTGGTTCAAACCAACGTTGCAGTCCAGTGCCTTAAGCCACAGCATTACACCAGGACTCCTTAATCTATTCTAGGAGCTTCAAAATCCATTGCTAGTTTGATGAAGGCAGACTTTTGACCGTTTATTCACTGCTGTGTCACCAGTGACTAGTATGAGATTGGCACATAGTAAGTGCTCAACAAATATTTGTTGATTGAGTATAGATAAGATTTCTCAGGGCACAGGGAATGAGAGTCCAAAAGTCTCATATCTCAAGACTGTAATGTCACATAATCTAGTTAAGAAAGTCTTGTTAATGGGGCAAAAATAGCAATAATGGGGCAATTGTTAGTTGTTAGGTGCTGTTGAGTTGTTCTGACTCATAGTGATCCTATGCATAACAGGACAAAACACTGCCCAGTCCTCACAAATGTTATGTTTGAAACCATTATTGTTGCCACTTTGTCTATCCATCTCATTGAGGGTCTTGTATTTTTTCACTGATGTCTACTTTTCCCAGCATGACCCCACTTATAGATCCAAGAAAAATGAAGTTTTTGACAACTTCAATTTCTCCAGGGTCTCTTCTGACATCTGCCAAAGCACAAGAGATGAAGTCTTGTCACCCTCATTTCTAGGGAGTATTCTGACTATATTTCTTTCAAGGCAGATTTGTTTGTTCTGGCAATCCATGGCACTTTCAATATTCTTTGCCAACACCACAAATCAAATGCATCATCTAGTCTTCCTTATTTACTGCCCAACTTTCACATGCATATGAGGTGATTGACAATACCATGGCTTGGGTCAGATGCAACCTAGTCCTCAAAGTGACTCTGTTCTTTAACACATTAAAGGTCTTTTGTAGCAGATTTGTTCAATGTGATATATCTTTTGATTTCTTTACTGCTGCTTCTATAAGCATTGATTGCAGATTCCAGCAAAATGAAGTCTTTGACAACTTCCATCTTTCTGTGTTTATCATGATGTTATTTACTGGTCCAATTATGGGGATTTTCACTTCGTTTACGTTGAGGAGCAAGCCACACTAATGACTAGTCTTTGATTTTTTTATAGTAAATATTTCAAGACCTCTTCACTTCCAGCAAGCAAGGTACATCATCTATATATTGCGGGTTGTTAATGAGTCTTCCTCCAAAACTGATGCCATGTTCTTTTTCATATAATTCATCTCCGATTCTTTGATCAACATTAGTGTAGTGGTTATGAATCGGGCTGCAAACCTCAAGGTCAGCAGTTCAAAACTACCAGCTGTTCTGCGGGAGAAAGATAAGGCGTTCTGCTCCCTTAAAGATTTGAAGCCTCGGAAACCCTGTGTAGGGTCACTATGAGTCG